GGAGGGATGTGTCAGAGGCAGTGAGATTGGCACAGGATAGAGCAGGGTTTAGGGCTGTTGTACATAGGGTCGCTATGAGTCGCAAGCGACTCGACAGCACATAACAACAACAGCAACAATATTAACTAATGCTCATAGGCTATATTTTGATACAAAGAAATTGTGATTTATTATATTTTACAAATTGGCATTTCTGATAAGTAAATTTATAAAGCTGTAGATTAAGTTTCATTTTATTCGGAGACCTGACTATGAAAACCCTTATAGTGGCTTGTTACACTTAAAACTCTTGTATGTATTGCTACATACAGGAAGAAGTTATGGCAGAGGAAAGTACTGATGGAGAGGTAGAGACTCAAGTATACAACCAGGATTCACAAGATTCTATTGGAGAAGTAAGTAAAAACTTGATTTTTAGGTAATAATAGTAAAATGTTTGCTCTCAGCAAATCAAATTAGCTTAAGGAATGTAAACACAATTGGGGTTTTTTCCTACTTCGTACTTTATATCTAGTAAAGTATTACTAGAATTAAATGGTACAAGTTCTTTTTTTCTTTTTTTTTATTTTTTCTCCTTATTGCTTCTAGATTAATACTGAATATTTTTGTTCATGACACTGGTCTTGTAAGCTAAGTTGTTTTTGATTACTGTTGAGTTGAGTACAGCTCATAATGACTCTATAAATAAAAGGCCAGAAGCCTTTCTGTAACTATTGATATTTATCAAAGTTTATAGAGTTTCCAGAGGCATGTGGTTTAGCAATTGGATGCCACTCCTACTTCCTGAAAGCTGAGAAGCAGCATGAATAAAGATTATTCATTAGTATGATTTAGAAAAAAGAACAGAATAATGGGTTTATTTAGTCATGAGTTAAAATGAACCAAACCTCTAGATTTCCATATTTTCACATATAAGAATAAATAGTAAAAGAATTTTTAGGATTGTATAATGTTTAGCATAATACCTACCAAATGTTACCAGTACCATTTGCCATCGTCTGTGTTCCATTCATGGTGCCTTCTTGCATTAGTAAAAGTGTGTGGAGTTTCCATTGACTTAATATTTCAGAGATTTCAGAGTACCTTTAAGTCCTTTTTCAGGGTGCTTCTGGATAGCCTCACTCCAGCCTTTGGTTAGCAACCAAGAGCCTTAAACTTTTGTCCTCCCCTGAAACTGACGTCGTCTTTAATTCTTAATAATATTACAATTTTCTACAGAATGCTTTTTATTAAGGTTGGCAAAAATTACTATGACACAGAAAATGCCAATTTGCTTTCCATTCCACCGTTCCAGCACAATTTTATTTGTTTTTCATGCTCTCATTCATATGGTTTACCCCATTTTCTTCCCCTTCATACCCTCCAGTATGAACTTGGTGGTTGTCATCCCTTCTTTTCAGAGTTACCTTCCCTCCTTCTATTCCAGTGCCATCTTTTCTCTGTGTCCATTCTCCTGTTCTCCTCACCTCTCCCTGCCTGCCTTGCCCCTTATTACTCTTGATTTTATAACAGTGGTCTTACACCACATTTGTCCTTTTGTGACTGAGTTAATTCACCCAGCATAATGTACTCTAAACTCATCCATGTTGTGTAGAGTTTTCTTGAGAAATTGTTTTTCAGTGCTCTGTTATTTGATTATACCACAATTTTTGAGCCATTCATTTATTATTGGATCCTTCTGTGCTTCTTCCTTCTCTTAATTATTGTGAATAATGCTGCAGTAAACATGGGGGTGCGTTACATCTATTTATGTCTTACCTCTGTTTTCTTTGCGGTAGGTCCTAGGAGTGGAATAGCTAATTCAAATGATATTTCTATTTTCAGTCTTCTTAAGAAGTGCCAAACTGCGTACTGTGTTGGTTGTACCATTTTACAATCCCACTATCATTGTATGAGATTTCAACTTGTCCACATCTTTGCCAGCATTTATTATTTGTTGTCCTCTAGAACTTGGCCATTTGCTGGGGCAGCATTATCTATTGCATGCTACTGTTGTTGGAAGTGCCATCAAGCCAGTTATGACTCTGTAAACAGTGGATCAGAACCTTGTTCTATCCTCTGCCATCTTCAACATCTATGATTTACTTGAAGCTGTTAATATAGTCCCTGTACTTGGTTCAGAGTCATCATCTTTTTTGATGATCCTCCATGTTTCCAAGCTTAGTATCTTTTTCCCAGGAGTGGCCTCTCTTTCACAACATGCCCAAAGTATGGGGTGAATCTTAACTCCTCAAAGGAGCACCCTGTGAACTGTCTCCCAATCGTATTTGTTCTTTTGGTAGTCAGTGGGATATTCGGTACTCTTCTAACACCACTACTCAAAGGTATCAGTTCGTCTCTTCTCTTTACCATTGTCCAATTTTTAGAACCATGCCAAGTATTGGAAAAGGCTACGGCTTGGATCAGATGCTCTTTGTTGTTGTTTTTCTTATTGTTAAATGCTGCCATCAAGTTGTCTGCGACTCATTGCAGCCCTGTGTAAAACAGCCCTAAACCCTGCTCTATCCTTTGGCAAACTTACTGTCTCTGACACACCTACCCCCATTAACCCAGTCACTGAATCAATCCATCTCATCGAGGGTCTTCCTCTCCTGCTCTGTCCCTCCATTCTTCCAAGCATGACGTCCCTCTCCTAGGACTAGTCCCTCCTTGCAGCATGTCCAGAGTATATCAGATGAAGCTTCAGAATCCTTGCCTCCAAGGAGCAACCTGGTCTAACCCTCTTTAGGGAAAATCTGTTCATTCTTAGCAGTCCATGGTATATCCATTACTCTTCTTCAACACCACAGCTCAAAGTCATCGATTCTCCTTCTATCATCTCTAGTTATTATCTAGCTCTCTGATGCATAGCAAGTGATTGCAAAGACCATGACCTGTATCAGGCACACCTTAGTCTCCAGACTGACATTGCTCTGCAGTACTCTAGAAAGATCTCTGACAGCAGACTTTCCCCACGCAATACGTCTTAATTTCCTGGCTGCAGGTGCCAAGAGTGTTGACTGTGAATCCAAGCAAACTAAAGCTGTTAACAATCTCTTCATTCCCACTGGTGAGAATTTTTGGTTTCTTGATACTGAGCTTCAATCCATATTGAAGGTTGCAGTCCTTGACCCTCTTCAACAAATGCTTCAGGTCCTCCTCAGTTTCAGCAAGCAGGGTTGTGTCATCTGCATAATGCAGATTGTTGAGTCTTCCTCCAATTTTCCTCACATTTCTCCTCAGCCCAGCCTTCTGGATAATCTGTTCCACATAAAGATTAAGAATGAATGGAGATAGGACACATCCCTGGCGTACACCTTACCCAATTTTTAACCATGCAGTGTTTCCTTGCTCTGTTCTAATGACTGCCTCCTGGTCCAAGTATACTTTTCACTTAAGCCAGTCAAATGTTCTGGGATTCCCATCCTTCTCAGAGTCAGCCACAGTGTGTTGTGAGCCACACAGTCAAATGCCTTTGCATAGTCAATGAAACACGGATAGACCTTCCTCTGGTATTCCCTACTTTTTCAGCCAAAAACCCGTCTAACATACAATATCTCTAGTACCACGACCCCTTCTAAACCCAGCCTGGACTTCTGGCAGTTCTCTGCTGATGTGCTGTTCCAGTTGTTTTTGGATGATCTTCAGCAGAATCTTGCTTGCATGTGATATTAATAATATTATTGTTCGATATTTTCGAAACTGTCAGGTCACCTTTCTTTGGAATGGGAACAAATACAGATCTATTGCATTCACTTGACCAAGTGGTTGTCTTCCAGATTACTTGACACAACTTGGTGAGCACATCTAGGGCAGCATGTTTGTTGAAATAATGTCAGTTGGTATACTGTGAATTCCTGGGGCCTTGTTTTTTGGCAATTCTTTCAAAGCAGTTTAAACTTCTTCCTTCATCACCACAGGTTCTTGCTTGTATGTTGTTTCATGAAATTTTTCCGTGTCCACCAATTCCTTTTGGTACAGTAGCCTTGAATCTGTCCCACCTAAATTTCAAAACCATGTCAGGAACAGGTTTGAGGCCTTGAACACTAGTGAGTGAAGACCAGAGGATCTGTGGGAGGATATCAAACATATCATCCAGGAGAAGTGCGCAACGTCATTACAAAGACAGAGGAGGTAGAAAAGACCGAAACGGATATGAGAAGAGACTCTGAGTATTCCACTAGAGCCCCAAGAAGCCAAAGCAAAGAGAAGAAATTAAGATACTAAGGAGCTGAACAGAAGATTCAAAAGGCAATGCGGGAAGACAGAGTAAAGTATTATAATGATAAGTGTGAAGAGCTGGAGTCAGAAAATCAAAGGGGCCGAACTAACTCAACATTTCTTAAGCTCAAGGAACTGGGCAAGTTGCAATACTTAAGGATTCTTTTGGCAGAATATGAAATGGGAAGAGTATACAAAGTCACTGTACCAAAAGAAATGGGTGGACACAGAAGATGCTGCTTAGTTTTTAAAATAACATTGTTGCTCTTTAGTACTTTGGGAGAAATCCTGGACAGCAGATTTTCCCAGCACAGCTTGTCATTTGATTTCTTGACTGCTGGTAGCGATGATGATTATGGATCCAAGTAAGATGAAGTCTTTACAACTCAGTGTTTTCTCTGATTATAAAGATTTTAACGATTGGTCTTGTGGTGAGGATTTTTGTTTTCTGGCTGTTGAGATATAATCCATATTATAGTCTACAGTCCTTGATATTGTGCAACCATTGTGTCAAGTCCTCTTCGCTTTCAGGACACAAGGTAGCGTCATCTACATTGTGCAGGTTTGGGTGAGTCGCTCTCTCATCCTGATGCCACATTGTTTTATAATCCATCTTCTCAAATTATTTGCTCAGTGTATAGATTTACTAGGTATAGAGAAAGAAGCATCTCTAATGCACGCTTTTCTTAAACTGTCCATTGTCCTTTACTCTGTTAAAACAACAGAGTCTAGATGGAGATTTTGCATGAGCATAATGAAAAGTTAAGAGAATCTCCGTCTTTTCAAGGTTAGCCTTAATTTATTATAACACAAATGACAAAACACTCAATAAAACATAAAGAGACGTTCTTCTGGTACATTCTGCTTTAAGTGTTTTCCCTTGTGCCACAGCTTCTTCTAAATTCAGTTTTAATTTCTGTTAGGTCTCTTACCAACTATTCCAGCCCTTTTAAAATAATCTTGAACAGTATTTTTTTACATGTGAGAGTGATAATGTTCTGTAATTTCTACGTTCTGTTGAATCACTTTTTTAAAAAAAATTACTAAATTTTATTAGTTTTAGTGAACATTTACAGAGATTTTGGGTTTTCATTCATTCATTGTTGCACTGTTTTCTCTACCCTCGTCCCCAGTTCATTCTTCTTCACCCCCACCCCCGAATGTCTGTTTTAATTGTCCAATTGCCACAGTGCTT